ATAATAATAATAATAATAATAATAATAATAACAATAATAATAATAATAATAATAAATTCTGTTTTCAAATGACAATTTCGATGTTGAAAATAAATAAAGAATATCCAAATTTGATTCAAAAAAAAACTTTTAAAAATGATTTTGGATACTTGTCTTTTTTTCTAAAAAAAGAATTTTTTCCAAATAATTGCTACAAATTGTGAAAATTCTGATAAATGCGAAGATTAAAAGAGTTTTTGGATGATAATTTGGGCCAACACATAGTGATATTGTTGTAAGCATTTATAATCACAATTTTTTTTTTTTGATAATGGGATTTTTTGAAATTTAGAAAACAATTTTTCCTCTAAAACTTTTATCAATAGACAATTCCAATAATACTAGGAATTCTAAAAAAGATTGTTAAATTTGAATTGTCGCAATTAAAGTATAACTTTAGCGACAAATTAAAAATGTCCCATCTCATCCAAACTTTTTTCCTTTTAGTCTCTTGGAAAGTTTATTTCGATTTGGTCACAAAAAAAAATTTAATATCAACATTCATATTTATATACAAGAATATTTGTATGTCTATATGTGTGTGTATGTGTGTGTATGTGTATGTGTGTGTATATGCGTATGCGTGTGTATATGCATGTGTGTGTGTGTGTGTGTATGTGTGTGTGTATGTGTGTGTGTATGTGTGTGTGTATGTGATGGAATAGATTAAAGAGAAAAACAACTCATTTATGAAAGACGCATTTGTTCTTTGTGTTTGAAATGAAATTTAGGAAAAAGTTTCATAGGCTGTTTTAGCCATTCAATTAACCATTTTAATCATTCTGCAATTGTCATTTAGCCGCTCTTGGCAAAGCAATGCGGTAGTTTTACGCTTGAAAGGTTACAACTACTATAGACTCAAAGTAGTTACAATAATTAATTAAATAATTATACTATTCCTGCTAAAACAAGAAAATATTTTTAAATTTTGAGTTTTCAAATAAATGATTAATTGAAGGTAAAAAAGGAGTAATCATGTTTACATGTGATGATAATGACACGGAAAAACGTCAGGTGACGTGCAATTGATTAGAGAGAAAATATAGAATATGGTGGTTTATTCTAAAGTTTTGAAGTTTAGAAAGTTTAAATTTGATCAGAATTCTAAATAAACTTGAATATTTTATATTAAAATTATAATCATACAGCTAATCATCATTGTTATTTTTTCCCAACCATCACCAATCTTATAAATGATCTCAAAAAAGTGTCAAAATTATACTAATTTACTTGCTAGTAATTATGTCTATTCAATTAAATCATTAAAGTATTTCGATATTTTGATTCAAAATTTTTGGACAGACCAAGAATGATGAGTTTTTTTCCTTTTTGCATCAAAAAATGTTAAATTAATTGATCACAAGTGATAGCCATAAGTTAAACATACCTTCACTGGTGCCTTCTTGCAATGGGTCAAGACCTTGGGATAGAAGCTGGATAATACCATTGCGGAAAATTGCGCCACTATGCAAAATTGGGAAAGATTGACGACGTGTGGACATGTCATACGGTCGAGTGCATGAGTTGGATCTATTAGATCTCACATAAGTCGGAATGTGTTGTTGTTGTTGTTGTTGTTGTTGTTGCTGATCATCGAATGCCGCTCGACCGTGTTGCATCGATTGTGTTCGTGGTACAGTAGTAGTACCATCAACGTCATATCTTGCCGTATTATCTTTCTAAATTTTTGAGCATTAAAGCATTTGATATGCAACATTTTTAATTACTTAAAAATAACCTCTAAAAAATCAATAATTGTTTTGTCGCCAACATTACTGTCTTTAAACTTTGTTTTTCAAATATTTAAATTCCAATTTTTTCTCCTCAAAAATCTATTAATCTATTTCATCTATTAATACAAGTTTATATGACAGAACATTTCACTTTCGCAAAAAATTATTCAAATAAAGTTTTCATAAACTTTTTGGTGCTTTAAAAAACTTTAATGAATTTTTTTTTTTTTTTTACTATTCGAAAGTATGAAAGAATAGTAAATAACATGCGAAGCACTGACATTTTTTTTATTTTATTAAGGAAATCATTGAGTTTTTTCTTATGAGGAAGTAGACACAAGCATTCTCCAGTAGTTGCCTATTTAGAGCTCTTAAAGTAAGCAATTATTGGTAAAGATTGAAAGCTATGAGAAAAATACGATAGTTGGTTTTTGAATTTCAATTAATAGCAGGTAAGTTATGTGGAAATACGGTAGAGTTAGTCTTTTGAAAATTTGAAACAAACATAAAAAATTCAAAATATTTGTTAAATGATAGAGATTAGTCACATCTGAAATAATTTATGGTCAGTGGATAAATTTTAAAAAGTGATGTGATATTTGAATTAAATCCTGTCATTGCGGAAAAGTCCGGTAATTTTTGGAAAAAGTACTACCCTCATTGAGCAAACAATCCATGTTTATTTAATGCAATTTTGAACTTTAGGAGATAACTCAGAAATTCCAACTTAAATTTTTCATTCTCTTTCCTCTCCTTCTTTTCTTTATTTTTCAAAAAAAAAGAAAAATTTAAATTACTAATGGATTTTTTTTAGGTAACTGTTGATTTATCTTTGTCTCTTCCATTCCACGTACTTTGTCACCTTCTCCTCCTCCTTCTTCGCCTGATTTCTTACCCGAACAGCAATATTTGACAAAATTCTCGATAGTTTCGTTATATTTCATAAATGTACAATACAATAAATAGATGAAAAATAAGCCAAATGCTTCGAACCAAAAGATCTGAATTAATTTAAAAATAAATGAAACGAAGGATTTTCATTTATAAAAAATTACTTAATATGATATTTATCAATTCCACTACTCTTTTTGGACATATCTAAATTCATCGTCCTTTTTTATTCTTTTCTTTTTAAAATGAAACTTTTGGACCTGTTCATCCAGGAAGAAAATAACCAGCATGAATAATGCCACCACATAAAATGCTACGTCTCTGAAAAAATAAACAAACTAGTACTGATCATTAATGAAAAATAAATGATACGAAAAGTCAATAAGTTAAATTATTGATATTTAGGGTGTCTAATACAGTATCACCGTGTAGTATGAAAAGCAGTTTACGGTATGGTTAGAGAATACCATATCAGAAGGCAATTATAATCCAACGATATTGATTTTGTTATAAATTTGACATAAAAAAATTTTGTTTGTTTTTGAAGAAGCAACGACCACTTGGAACAGGGCGAGCCTCACTTTTGTATTTGAAATATTGAAGAACTTATGATCTGATAATGTGATATATACTGATAAGGTAAACCTGAACAAAGGCCACCAGGTTAAATGCAAAACACTATAAGAGAATATCGCACAACATGAGAGGACACAGAGTATGTTGAAAGTAGCACTACCTGAAGTATTGAACGAAACACATTAGCATGGTGTGCAGTGTCTTTATTATTAAGATCCAGTTGTAGTTATCCGAAAAACTTGTATTTGAATCTTTGTAATACTAAAATATAAATATAATGGCAAAAAAAAATGCATCGTCATTATGCATTTAAATTAAGCACAAAACTTACCAACAATGGTACCAATGCCAACATTATTCTCGGCAATAAAGACACCAATTACGGATGTAAAAAATTCCGGTGCGGAACCTCCGGCAGCCATAAATGTTGCGCCTATGATTTTAATAAAATTGCAGAAAGTGAATGTAATATCGGAGTTAAATCAAATAGAGTCTTCATGGCATCCTTATTAATAAGAGTAATAGTGACCTTTCTTTTAATTCAAAGTGATTGTGATATTCTTTTCGAACAAAAAGAAATAAGGGGAAGAGATTTGAAATAGGTACAGATGAAAATTGATAATAAGATTTTTTACTGCTCATTGTTATCATGCTGCTTCCTTCGTCATGATTTGTTAACAATGATTGTTTCTCCTTTTGATTAATATATTTTCAGATATTCAGTAATTTACGGTCACTATGCTATTCATAAATTCCTGTCAAAGAATGATATCTAATCATGCTATCTCCATTAGTTTTTTTTTTTTTTTTACCACAAATGATCAATCTGTACCTGCAACATCATCACTGATTGCCAACTTATCAGTGATAACACCCAATGATGGTACGAAGAATTCATCGCAAACAATGGCTAACGCAATGAACATGTAAATCAAACCAATGATGTGTAGGATTACTATAAATAATAATTATTGGAATTGGTAGAATTTGATTACTGTACTAATTTCATTAAACAAATTAAATTCTCTCAATTTAAAAAGTTCAAACTTCATGAGTAATTGAAAATTTAGATATACGGAAATTTCAATTCAATAAATCATTCACTTGCGCCATGACGTCGCTGTTCGAGAGTAAACTGATCCGGTGGGAATTGGCCTGCATCGTTCGAATCTATCACAATTCGCTTCGTTTCATTACTATAGTAATATATTATTAGTTCCATTAAAGGTCAAATGGTTTATATCTTCAGTGAAAAAATGTAACAAGACAGACTAGGAAGACATGTTAATTAATAGAAACTTACGAACAAAATTCTCTTTCTTTAATTAAAGTTATTGAAAAAAAAAAGAAATAAAATCAGTTCTTACATTCTACATTCAGGTAAAATACCCAATAATTTTCGTTGTTGAAAATTTATAGTTTGTTGTTGTTGAAGTGATATCAGTTGTTTTTGCACCTGTTCTTGTTCTTCTGAACTTAAACGAACCATCTGTATGGCGGATACAAGAAAAATTGCCAGTGAACAGATTATAGCTCGTCGAATAAATGTTTCATTGAAACGACGATTTCGCATCCTGCAAATGGAAATGGAAATCAAAATTGGAATACGAATAAATTCTTTTTCAGATTTTAATGGAATAGTGAAAACGTAACAGCAGAGATAAAATAAAAATATCTGAAGAGTAAAAGGCAAGCAAACTTCTACATAAAGAATATTTTTTGATTTAAAAACGGATAAAAGTCATTTGTTGAATGAAGTAGAAGGCTTATGAAGCAAGCTATAAAATAGTCTCGCTTAGTTTTCTTATTGATTACGTATTGACATTTTCACAACAATACACTCTTATCACTTTTTGACGAGGATTTAAAATTTAGTCCTTAAAGCTGATAGATAGATAAAATTTTAAGCTCATAACTTTATTGGCAATATAAGTAATGAAATAACTTTATTGGGAGTATAAGTAGTAAAATACGAAAGTCTAGGTAAAAATTTGATTAATTAAATAATATGTAACAAATAAAAATAATGATAATAATAGCAATAATGTGAAATGAAATTAAGAAATGAATTTGAAAAAAGAACAAATTACTAAAAAGGTCTATAAAGAAATTAATGAAATATTGTTTCAAAATTAAAATGAAATTGCAAAAATTACCATTTTATTTACGAAATAATTATTCAAAAATAATTTGAAACGTTCTGTAAGTTTAAAAGTAAATAAATAATTCAAAATAACAAGGAAAAAAAATTGTATCATTTGTGAGGAGTGGAAAAAAGCTGAAAAAATCATCAGCTTGCAAAATGCAATCGTTGCTATTGCTGATCCCTCTTCCTTCACTCATTCTTGAAAGTTAACGCTTCAAAGGAAAAATAATACGAAGCGATTTATTATAGCGTTGTTGATAACAATGATAAGGAACAACATCCATGTGATACACGTGATAATGATGATGAATTATAATAATAACAAATAATAGAGATTGATTCAAATATCCTTCATTCAGTTTCATATTTAAGAGAAATTTAGATTAAGAACAAAGATTTAAAAATGTAATCTTAAATCTGAAGTATAGCATTGGTTGATATCATATATCAGCATAATATCATGATGACGTTTACGTTTAAATTTCATTTCAATAATATTGCCATTGTATAATTAGTGAGTTAAAATCAATGGTTGACCTATTGAATCATTCATTTGAGGAAAGAAAAAGAAATTAAATAAATAGTTAATTCAAGTGAACTGTTGACTGAGCTGCGAATGGCACTAAACTTATTGGAGAGGAGAAGATGAGAAGATGCTATTTGGATGAAATTTAATAAATATAATCATCTATCCGTCGGTCCAGTTCATCAGTTCACTTCCTATGACAGTATTGCAATGATATTAAAGTAAAAAGAAGGAGTAGTGCTATTTTTCGAATCATTTCATATTAAATTAATTCAATTCATTCATTAAATTGTTCCTACGATTTGTTGTATGAAATGAAATGAAAAAAGAAAATTGAATAAAATAAGAAAAATATTTGGAAGAAAAGAATTTATCAAATCACTTTTTTCAACCATTCTTATTATCTAAATTATACCTTAATTAGAGGAAAAGATGAAGATAGTTGGAAATTTTTCGAAATGTTTAAGAATAGCTATTATTCTAATCGATACTAAAATACCGCTTATTACATCAAAGGGCTTCCCTTCTTTCTTTGTTATTGCCGTGATTGAAGTGAGTGGTGGAAGCGGTGATAGTAGTAGCGAAAACATGGCGCAATAATCCATCAAAAAATTGTGCCAATTGGGATTGGATAGATTCATATGGGATTCCTAAGGGAACATTTTGAGGACGCATGTTCTTCACATTTCCCATTTCAGCATATGAACAACGAATGTGAAAACTTTGATTGCTGCTAAAACATTGCTCACACTATGGAATTAAAACTGATATATTTGCATAATAAATGAGCCAAGAGCTTGGCTTGTGTATTAGTTAAAATTTGAACAAAAATAACAAATGGTTTGGCTAGAATTAATCGAAAGTTTGTTGCAGTAATGAACATAATCATACAGTAGTAGTGAGAATCAAGTAAGAAATAATGCAAGTAATTGAGAAACGCATGCATGCACACAAATTATTCCATTACCTGATATTATTTAGCAGAATTCGCAGTTACATGGAAAGGTATTTTATGATTGGTACCAATCGAAGTGTAAGATTAGATTTATATTTTTCAATTAAATCGGACATTTTGACTAATATCGCTTCAAAATTTCGAGGCAAAAGAAAAGGAGAAGGATTAAAGTGAACTTATATAAGTACCAACAGAAAAAAAAGTTTAGCTTAGTGGGACAAAAGGAAAAGCCTGAAAATTT